CAACAGAAATCACGTTTATGTTAATACATGCGCGAGTAAAGTACTGGCCTGCGAACGAAGACGACAGCCGGAAATATGTCTGCGTTCGCAGGCTAGGAAAATCCGAGCACGTAAAACAAAATAACACCACGACACTTGACCCTTGCAGGCGCTAAAAACAGAATTTGTTTCTTTGGCGTAAACTGATAACCTTCGAAGGTGGTGGGATTTCGCGCGCGGGTGCTTTTGTTTTGGCGGCGAAGCCGAGTGTGACGCGAGTCGGCAAAGCCGAGGGGATTGGTAATGGGTCGAGTTGAATTCGAATTCCCTCGTGGTGACGTGAGAATACAATGGTGGTTCGACCCCCAAAAATCACTCGCACACGGATTTCGCCAGCTACACAAGCTTGAAAAGAACAATGTTCTACAGTCAATTTCGGCGTCATTAATTGTTTGATTTTGACCAAAACTGCAACAAAGTGGTCCAAAAATTATCAGGACGCAATGAAACGTCCAAAATTCTATTGTACAGTCAGGGTCCAACCAAACCAGAAGTGTGTTCCACGGTTGATTTCCTTATTCGCGGGACTGGCCCCGCAACGTGGAGCGAGGGAACCCGAAACAACATTTTTAGTAGCAATGTTTCGTTAAGTTTCTAGTGTTAACAGAATTTGCGGCGCGATAAATTGGAACGACCGGGAAAGCAAAGCTAGTTCTTGTTTAAAAAGGTATAAAAAATAACAGAGAAAGTAAAATCTTACGGTGCCGCGAGGATTCAAATCAAATTTGAGAAAGACATGCAGCGAAGAGCAGCGGCGGCGCTGCAGAGCAGTAGAGCAGCAGAGCAGCGCAGAGATCTACCATAGGCGGTCTAGCCGGACAAAGACGCCGGAGAGACAGGTTCGACAAATCGAGCCAATTCAGAACTTTTAGTCAATAATTCCCACTTCGATTCTTTTCAAATGAATTTCAAACTCACCCACTTGGTGCAGTTATCTATACCGCTCATCGTGTTCTGCAGGCAACTTGTTAGATTTGTCCCCCACTCCAGTCTTTTCAAGCGCTGCTCCTTTCTTCTCCCACAACTTCAACAAAACCACTGCAACTATTCCACCGATCACTGCACCAAACAATGCACTGCTCCAAAATTCGTCAAAACGAAACATTCTGCTCGTTTGTCCAGATCAAGCACAAATCGCACTACACACTGCTTAAGAGAATTGGAAAGTGTCGTATTTCTAGACGGATGTCTTAAAAAGGTAGATTGACAGAAACAAAATCAGCCAAAAGTATCAGCCAATCAGACAAGAGTCCCCTTTGTTATCATCGAATTACGTGAATGGCATTTCAAGTTCTCCCGCCTTCTCTCAATATCCATATCCAGCAAAAAAAAAATTCAAAACATGCCACTCGAGTTTGTTATTTTGATTGTTGATATGACAAACATGACATTCTTGAAAATCCGCAATAACGTGACGTCGCTTTCAGAGGGCTTTATGCGCGAGTCCATCAAACTCACTGTAGGAATTCCTGTCTCTTTGACAACCTCTAAGAAAAGCATTTGTCCAAAAGACATCTTTGAA